TGTGTGTGTGTGTGTGTGTGTGTGTGTGTGTGTGTGTGTGTGTGTGTTAAAAATATATATGTAAGCCAGCGTGAAAACTGAAATAAATATTTGTTGTGTTTTGTTCTCCAGGCGTTTCGATGGAGATGTTTTATCCGTTAGCTTTAAAGGATATGTTTCTGAGTGAGCTGCTCCAGGCTGCTCATGGTCGCCTGCTGGAACTCCACCAGACTCTCACAGGCACAGGGGTCCTTCACCTCGATCTCCCCCTGACTCTCCGCTGCACACACACACACACACACACACACACACACACACACACACACACACACACACACACACAGCTTTAGTCATTTGATTCTTATATATTGTACATCTTTTTATTTGAGTTTTAATGTATTTTAGGCAGGTTTGATTTTAATCAGATTTATATTACAGTTGTTTTTTATTCTAGCTATTAATACGTGACACGTTTTTATTTAATGAATGATTACATTATTTTATTTCACACATATAAACAGTATACATATTGTTTCCTGCAGTTGTATATTTCAGTCAGCAGAGGGAGCCACACAACAGGAAATCATTACAGCGACATGTGGCTCTCATCCTCTACTTTGTACTTTATGATGGACAAGATCATAATAACCATTTTAACATTTGTGTCTTTTACTTTATTTATGACATTTTAATTAAGTAAAATAATGTTATACATGATTTAACTTTAAAAAACAAAGTTCAATGATCACATATTAAACTAAGAATAATACATTTCTGTTATTTTACACATCAAACCAATTCAATAAATCCTAATAATGAAATACTTTTGCATAAAAATAACAAATATCCTTATCTATTCAATTCAATAGCGTTAATATATTTAAGGAAAATAAACTATATGTATCTGCCGTGCACAAAAGTGAATTATTATGCTTCAATTTAGTGATTTTCCATTCGACAATATTATCTTTTTAGGACAATAAAGAACTTTATGGGGGCTTTTTTTCTATTTTTACACAAAACTCATGAAACTGCAATGAAGTGGTGATGAACCCTGGAAACTCCTCCCTAGTATTGTGTGTTTCAGTTCCTGTAAGTTGTTGTTGTTATCCTGCATGTTGTACTCAAGGTTTCAGTAAAACCCAGATCTTCTAACCTGGGCAGATGTTGAGTTTGAGGTTCTCTGCGATGGTGCTGATGGCGGAGAAATCGGTCGTGTAGTAGAAATGTTTCTCCGTCGGTTCAGACGCGATTTCACGCAGCTCGTCTTCCACCGCTTTACCAACGCCCACCGCGTACATGGTGATACCTGCAGACACACACACACACACACACACACACACACACACACACACACACACACACACACACACACACACACCATTTAATTTAAACCTTTTAATGTGCAGGACCTTTGAAATAAAAACTGTAAATGTGGGCAAATCGTTAAACTAGGGGTCATATAGTTTGTATCACACGGTGAGTTTATAT